AACATAATCACTGCACAAGAAGCCATCCACACAATGAAATCCGCAACAACCAAAAAAGGATGGATGTCAATTAAAATTGATTTGGCAAAGGCATTTGATCGTATCAGCTGGGAATTCATAGAGGATACTCTCCAAGATGCGAAAATCCCACAGAACATCACTAGAATCATTATGAGTTCCCTAAGAACAAGCTCTACACAAATAATATGGAATGGACAACTAGGCGAAACGTTCAGACCAACCAGAGGAGTCCGACAGGGTGACCCCTTCTCACCCTACATCTTTGTACTGTGCATGGAACGTCTTTTGCACGCCATCAACAAAGAAGTCCAGGCCAATCGTTGGAAACCCCTCACCTTCGGTAACACACATGTAACCCTCTCACACCTTTTTTTTGCTGACGATTTAATTCTTTTTGCAGAAGCTAACTAGGAACAAGCTCAAATCATCCAAGGAACAATGGCAAAATTCTGTAAAGCATCAGGGCAAATGGTTAACGCTGAAAAATCCCTACTTTACTGTTCACCAAACATCAACACAACAACAGCCAACGCGATAAGTGCCAACATGGGAATCAAACTGGTGGACAACCTCAGAAAGTACCTCGGAGCCCCCATCATTCATAGCAGAATAAAAAAGGAGATTTCAATCCATGATATGCAAGGTTAAAAAGCATTCATCTCATTGGAATCCAAAAAAAAATCAGTCTAGCAGGACGACTTACACTCTGCCAATCAGTCCTGTTAGCCATCCCCACTTACCTCTTGCAATCACAGTCAATACCAAAAGGCACATGTGAAGAAATAGACAAGCTATGGAGGGACTTTCTTTGGGGCAGTACACCAGGGGAAAAAAAGATGAATATGGTGCACTGGGATAAAGTTTGTCAACCCAAGACTAGTGGAGGACTAGGACTATGAAAGCTTCGCGATGTCAATACTACCTTTATGCTTAAGCTGGCATGGGAGCTACTCGCAGGAGAAAATAGTCTTTGGACTACAGTTTTTAAAGCCAAATACGCTAACCACCACAACAGAATAACCAAATCCTCACATCTAGGGAAACAAATATCACTACTCTGACAAGTCGCAACACAAGGAATCAAATGGACAGTGGGAAACGGCCAGAAGATCTCTTTCTGCACCGACCTATGGCTAGACATGGAGCAACCACTACAATACTATGCTTTAAATCCTATCCCGGCTCATCTACTGCAGAAAAAATTAAAGGAATACAGTGATGATAGTGGTAATTGGAAGTGGTCAATAATCTGCCTTTGGCTGGATGAGCAAATAATCAACAAAATTACAGCAATTCTAGCACCGGAAAGAGAAATAGGACCCGACAGACCACTTTGGAAATGGTCAAAATCGGGCAACTTCACCACCTCATCTGCCTATAGAATAATTGCAAAGAACAAATGGGATCCAACAGACAGAAAATGGAAACTAGTGTGGCATTGGGATGGACCTGAACAAATTCGAGTGTTCCTATGGGCTCTGGCAAGACAATCCATCCCCACGAACGCGGAACGCCACCGGAGACACCTCTCCGATATAGACGCATGCTACTTCTGTGGGCGACAAGAAACAATGCTTCACTTATTCCGGGATTGCACGAAAATCAAGCAAACATGGAGCCGAATCGAGAAGAACCTTCCGAATGATTTCTGGCAAACTGGTGACTGGAACCATTGGCTACTCTCTAATCTGTCTTCTTCTTCGTTGCAGGGGAACTGCCGCTGGAACACCATCTTTGTGGTGGCTTGCTGGAGGATATGGAACGCACGAAACCGGCTCACATTCGAAGGAATTTATACCAACATCAACGAATTAACTCGATTAATTCATGCGTCGACGGAGGAGATCATCAGATCTAATTCCCTAAAACAAACCACCATAAGATAGGGATCCAACAAGAAAGACAACCACCAAATTTGGAAGCCCCCTCCTTGGGAATGGGTTTTCTTAAACACCGATGGCGCAATGACCCATTCTCCAAAGATCACCGCAACGGGAGGCTTAATCAGGAATCATGAAGGAAAATGGATGACGGGCTTCGCAGCTAAGATTGGCGATTGCTCAGTCCTAGAAGCCGAGCTCTGGGCTGCGTATCATGGGCTCAAGATAGCGTGGACCTTGGGCTTTAGAAAAGTCCAATTGCAGCTGGATTCCATGCAGGCTGTCAACCAAATGAATGAAAATTGCCTAACTTCACCTCCTAGCAGTATTTTGTACAGAATTAGAAGACTTCTGGACCGTCAATGGGTGGTAGAAATCACCCACATTGGGCGGAATGCAAATGAATCCGCGGATTCTCTAGCAAAGTTAGGACTATCATATGCTATGGGCCTACATGTTTTGTCAATCCCGCCGGATCAAACGATAGAAAAAATAACTATCGATTGGCCCGACTCAATCCTCCCCTGACGGGTTGATTCTGCACTAAGCTTTTGCTTCCTCTGTATATAAGAAAAAAAAAACATTTTTTTTTCTTTTTGAATCTCCACTCTTATTACACTCATCATGTTTATTTATTTATTTACAAGTGTCTCAGCCCGGGCACTGTATTTTCATTCTCATGTAGAGGACAAATAATAATTTTGTTAGTCAAATAAGAAAATTAATATGATTACATAAATAAACGTCAAATCAAATTTGATAAGTAAATCAATTTTATTTATTTTACCTCATACTGGAAGCATTGGCAGATCCATTCAATGGTTGTTGTACAGCCATTCAATTAGGGGTTTAGAGAATCTACAAAGCGGAACCTTTTAATCAAAAGGTTCAGAGATTTGAGGGGATTGATCCCGGATTAATATGACAAATGGAAGGCAGATTTTCATTTAAATTAGTTCGACATTAAAGTAGGTGCATGTTGTTTATTTTTATACGTAGCCATTAAGTGTAGCAAATATTTTTTTCCCCCTTTTTCCTTATGGTGCCACGTGTCAAATTGTGGAGGAAGCTTAAGTTTTGAGCGGGAAAAAAATTGTTGGTGTAACTGCCTTGTGGCTTAAGTGACAGTTGCTTTTAAGAGATAAAAAAGAATTTATTTATTTTGAGAAAGTCATACTCGTCCACAATTGTTCCACTGCCGTAGGGTTATTTTACTCTCTCCACCGCACATTAATGATCCAGTTTGTAGTATTTTAATAAAGTAAATCACCTAAATGATGTCCTAACTAATAAAAGATTATATCGTGAATAACGGTTGTGATATTAGATATTGGGGATTTAAAAATTTCTATTATGACGGGACTAGTGATTTTAGCATAACGGATTATTATTTTTCTGCTCAAAAGAAGAATTGAAGAGAAGATGAGCTGATTGTTATCCTCCTAGGTTCCTATGCCAAAATTAGGAAAAAAAGTTCACGAGATAATGTGTATCGATAGTAAATATGCCATTCAACTGATCAAACGTGTTTCTAGTTACACCACTGCACACGAGGGACTCAGCTTGAGCATTAGGCAACTATTGAAACAGGATTGGGGGGTTAAAAACTTAGGATTGAAGACCATTTTTTGAGAGAGATGCAGCAATTAGATTGGCCATAATTCTTTTTTCCGACCTGGAGAAACCATCACCTAAATGTTAAAGTTCTGAATGTGGCATTATGTAAAAAGGGACCCCGTCTTGCAATTACTTAAAATTAGGTTTTAAGTCTTTTTTTTTTTTTTTTTTTTTTTTTGAAACGGTTTTTAAGTCTCTTTGTTTGCACTAAAGAAAAAGAAACTGTATAATAAATTATGTATGTCAAAATGGCAACGACCACATTACGAGACTCAAAGAAAGTATATTAAGGCGGCTTTAATATGTTTATCACAACCTTCTTAATCAAATGAAACTTATAGTTTGGGACGTTAAAGTTACGGGTTTGTAGAATTTCATGCTTTTTCTTGTCTATATTTTCTAGGTCTTAGTTGTACTCAAATGTTGTTATTATGGCTTATTAATGTATTTTAGGGTATTATGCTTTTGTCTTCCATGAAACATCAAATACAGTAAAATAAAATTTAAAAAAGTAGTTAAAAGTTGTCATAAAATAGTTGATGGCATGACTAGAGAGTTGCAAAACTATTGCAAAGTAGAAAAGTCCTCGAATGTAATAGTTTATGTATTCGTTATTTTGTTCAAAACTAGGGGTGTCGATTCGAGTTACCGGTCAATTTTGTGTTATGTATTCTGCATGATTAATAAGAGTTTTTAGAGCAAAAATATGATAAAAACTCAAATCGTGTCAATCGTGCCGTGTCGTGTCGGATTGTCTCTGTAAATCGTGTCGTCGTATCAAAAAATTGACACCCCTATTCAAAACTTTGTCTATAGTTAACTTGCAAAAGAATATACTCGGTACACTAAAAAACATATTGAAAACTCAATATATTTTCTCCCTTTTTTTACAGTACTCATTATAAATTATCATTATTTTATTTCTGATGTTCAAGCTTTCGACGCCGCTGGAGGAAAAAAATCAATTTTTTCTATGGCAAAATGTTTACTCTTTAGGGATAAAAAGGACATTCACTAACCAAGCAATATGTATAGCAATGATAGTATATCAACAAATGTCATAGAAATTGAATACTATCAAACCCCTTTTCTTTCATATCCTAAGTGGTGAATCAGGCACCTCCTTATATTTATTTGCTTATTCAAATTATCAAACATTTATTATCTTAAAATCTCTAGTAGAGATATTTTATAAATTATAAAATTAAATATATAACAACTTTAATAAATAATAATTTATTTGAACCTTTGATTGAAATTATACTGGACATTAGTTTTTGAACAAAAGGGTCATTTGTCGTCACTAGCCTAAACAAGAGGACCAAAATTGCAAATCCCCTCATATTTTTCTTTTCAACCAATTTCTGAATTCCTATTATTCTCCGCTCATCATCTTCCTTGTGGCAATCGCGTTTTGGTTGTATTCTCTGCAAATTACAGTGTCTGAGCTTCTGATAGTCATACTACATCACTTCGCTAAGCATGGCAGGTACTGAAATCTTTCTGTTTAATGCTTTGCTACTTCTTCTTATGGTTTCTTTTTGAGTGCTTCGTTGTGTACAGGATTCTAAGGATATGTTAAATTTAAAAGGAGCATGAAAAGACACTTCGGATATTTATAATTTTGTTAAATCTCGAGCTCGTAGGAACAGATATATGCGAATTAATAAGTAAATTACCGAGTGGGTTATGAAGAACTGTTCAGTATGTGATAGTATGGAGTATGGACAGTTCTGTAGTATAATTCTAGTTGGGTGCACTTTTTCTGTAATTGTTTAAGATAGTGCTGTTTTTTAAGAATCTCGTTCGAGGAGAATATCTTGGTTGCTGTTAATCTTTTCATCATCTTCTTTACTAGTGTCCCCTTCAATTTTAAGTTTAACCTTGAAGGTTCTGGAAATAAGATGCCACTTACTCAATTTCATAGTTTTATTTGCGTATTGTTGCTGATTAATTCGATTCAAAGTAGGCATCCCACATTTCCAGAGGAGAATGATCCTCATTTGTGAAATCGTTTGTCTTTCACCAGCTGAGTGTTTAACGATTAGATGGTCCCATAGTTTTTTTGATATTTTTTTTTTCTTGATTACTTCCTCGTCACAGATATTGACATGTATATTTACCTAGTAACCTATAGAAAAAATATCGAGGTTGGTTGGAGGTGATTACTGATTAGGCATTGGTAGAATACTAGTTGATTTCCTGTGGGAATAAAAGTGAGAATTGTAAACTGAACCCCTTTTAATCTTAAGGTCTAATAGCATTCAAAATGTCTTAATTTTCATGCAGCACTGTCAGGGAAGATTATCAGTCACTCTCTGGTGGCAAAAAGCTGCCAGCAGAATAGGCATTTCAACACCCAATATCAACCAGACTGTTGTAACCTTAATAAACGCAACTTGCGTCCCTTCCTAGGAGGAAATTTGGCTTGGAGTGCCATCTCTGCCGTTAGGTTGCATGGAATTTCAAAATTTAATCGAGGAATTGTGTACTGCAACGGTCTGTTCTAGACTCTTGACTATTCAGGTCAATATCAGATTTAACCATGCACATATGAGAACCTTCTACTAGTGAAACTATCTAAAGATCTTCTTTTGACTCTGGACTATTTCTTCGCTTGTTAACATTCAGGAAATTGGTTATAATGTCCCATGTGATATAAAATAGCTTAATGAAGTTTATTAATCTAGAAGATCACCGTTACTTGATGTACTTATGAATGAGCTTCTTTTTTCTTTTTTGGCAGCTGCACTATCTACTGCAGCAATCTCATCTGTTGAAAAAACTGATTTTCTTAAGCTTCAGAATGGGAGGTATTTTTCAACACTTTCTTTTCGTCTTGATAAAATTCTAGTTGTGCTTCTTATTTTCCTGCAATGACCAGGTAAAGCGATGCATAATAGCTCCTGTAGTTATTCAGAAAGTTTGTGGTTGAAAGTATTTCTTGAAATGCTTATCTGTTTTTGCAGTGATATTCGAGGTGTGGCTGTAGCTGGTGTTGAGGGTGAACCTGTTACACTCACTGAACCAGTGACAGAAGCTATAGCTTCTGCCTTTTGTGCATGGTTACAGAAAAGAAAGAAGCCACATTCTTCGAGACGACTGAGGGTATCTATTGGCCATGATTCTAGGATATCTGCACAGAAGTTACAGGTATAATTCATTGAAAGTGTCAAACCTGATTGATTTGATAGCTACAAGGGTTCGATTGTTTTTTTTTTTTGGTTGGGGGGCATTGTTTACTTTAGATTTGTTGAGTGCTGTTTCTCTGATAAATTTCAATGGGCAAATTTGTACATACTGACTAAACCTATGAGTATATATATTCCAGGATGCAGTTTCTCGAGGAATTTCCCGTGCAGGCCTTGATGTCATTCAATATGGGTATGGACTGCTCCTATCGCTTGCTTCTTCATGCTTTGATGCAAACGTTGATTCTCGTTCGTACTATTTCTTAAAATTTTGGATTTAAAAGTTGGACTAGCAAATTAATAGCAATAATCCTGTGTGGAACATAAGTTGTCTTTTCCATTCCAAGTTTCTCCTTTTTACTTATGTGTATTACATTCATGCAAAACTGCTAAAGGGCTATTGGTTATGAATGGAAAATTGGTTCCATTGTCAATCCTTGCAACTATTTGAATCATGAAGAAATATTTAGATTAATTGTGAATCCTTTCTTTATTAGTTCATTTAAACTGATTTGGGTTTGCGGGATTTCAAGTCCTCCATATGGTTGAACATAGCCCCGGTTAGTACGGGAGAGAAGTTTTCATGGCTCATTGTTTTCACTCTTTACCTAGATTATTTACGCAGGATTGGCTAGCACCATTTCTAATTTTTGTTTTGATATGACATAAATTTTTTTTTTCCGGTCAAGAATATTTGCCTTTAAAATTCAGTGGCGTTTAGACTTAGCTTGCTGACGGTTGCTATACATTTACTAGATTGGCATCAACACCGGCAATGTTCAATTGCACCCTAACTGAAAATGAAGACTTTCTGTGCCCAGCAGATGGTTCCATAATGATTACAGGTGAATGGTGTTTTTCCGATCACATATAGGTTTAATTCCAGTGTAGCTTGGTCAAATGGAGTTTATTTACTATGAGTTTGTCTATGTACAGCAAGCCATCTTCCCTACAACCGGAATGGTTTTAAGTTCTTTACAAATGCCGGAGGGCTTGGGAAGGCTGATATAAAAGAGATATTGGAGCTCGCCGCTGATATATACAAAACTCTCACCAATGAAGGCGCGGAACAGATAGCTTCACAATCAGTAAGAAAAGTGGAATACATGGATATCTATACATCTAATCTTGTACAAGCCGTCCGTAAAGCTGCCGGAAACGTTGGTAAGATTCTTTCTCATTTCAACTTACCAAAATTCATCTTGAAGTTTACTCTTCGGAGTCTCAACAGTAGTAGTACAATTAGAAACTTCTTTTGCCCTTGAATTTTTTACTTATGACCATTCTTACCTCTCATAGAGGTCAAACCTTTGCGGCTTATGTTTTATCAATTTTTCAGAAAAGCCATTGGAGGGATTCCACATAGTTGTTGATGCAGGAAATGGAGCAGGAGGCTTCTTTGCAGTAAGTATCCACTATCCATATAGTTGTTTCCTCTTTGTCTTGCCTGTTTAACTGGATTAAGTAAAGAATAAAAGTGGGTGAGGTGGAGGATACATTAGTTGTGCTGTAGTGATATCATGCATCTTTAAGCTAAGGGTTCACTTAAGAGACTCTATTTGGTGGATTATATTTGTCCTGTGACATTGGATGACACCAAGGTTGACCACACAAGCTTGGCATGTCCTTTTTGGTCCCACTTTTTGAGCCAACTTGTCATGTCCTTTTTGGTCCCACTCCTTTTTGGTCCCACTTTTTGAGCCAACTTGTCATGTCCTTTTTGGTCCCACTTTTTGAGCCAACTTGTCATGTTGAGTATAATGCAAATAACGGTAAAGCGCAAACCGAAGTTTTTCTATTATTTCGTGCGGCTAATCTCTCTCAATAGACGTATTTGGAATGAATCTACTCAGTTCTCCTGGGCTCGGTCCAAATTTATGAGTATGCAATTATATTTTGAATTCGTTATCTTAGTATCTCTGATTGCCTTCTTAATGGATGCTGAATCTTCATGTGCAAAGATTTTCTTGACTCTATTCATGCATGATCCTGGGGTGTCAGTAATTTTTGTTATGGCTTTATCAATTGAAAGCATAATTGTTTTGGCATTGTGTTTAGACAATTAGCTCTCTGTCTTTTGCAATTGAGATAAAATTCGATTTAGTTATCTTTAGTGACATTGCATCAATTATGGTTTTATCAGGGAAAGGTACTTGAGCCTCTTGGAGCTATTACTTCTGGCAGTCAGTTCCTCGAGCCTGATGGTAATATCTTGACGCAATCTCTCATAAATATATATATATATATATATATATATATAATCTACTTTTTCCTGATTGCTTGAGTCTGGTTTCAGGTATGTTTCCGAATCATATTCCCAATCCGGAGGATAAGGCTGCAATGGAATCAATCACCAAGGCTGTCCTCAATAACAAGGCTGATTTGGGAATCATATTTGATACTGATGTCGACAGGTATTGTGACTCTGCATGAACGCATGTGATTATTTTCCACTCTCAAAATGCCCTGTGCTTTTTGACAGATCTGCTGCTGTAGATTCCTCTGGTCGTGAATTTAATAGAAACCGGTTGATTGCATTGATGTCTGCTATTGTCCTCGAGGAGGTAAATTCGCTTGGATATTTATAGAACTGTTGCTTTTTGTCTGAGACTGAGTTGCATCCTCCTTTTGATTCTGTCAATTAGCATCCAGGAACAACTATCGTGACTGACAGTGTGACTTCGGATGGGTTGACCACATTTATTGAAAAGAAACTTGGTGAGTTAGGTTGACATGTTAGCCACGATCTCTACTCAAAATTAAGGTCATCATCATAATTTATTCCTCAGGAGGAAAGCACCATCGGTTCAAAAGAGGATACAAGAATGTCATTGATGAAGCTATTCGTTTGGTATGATCAATTTCTTCAGACATCTTTGAGTGAATGTCTTTTAAACCAATAGTCCTCTAGCTTTTCCAATGTTGGAGCATGTTATATGTACTGGGACATTTTAGATGTGATTTTGCTGATATTAAGCTTTATTTTGACCCAAAGATTACTGATATGACCCTTTTACAGAAAATCGATTGCCTGGGAACATTACATTTTGACATAATTTGTACTGTAAATTTGCTGTTTTTCATCTCCTTGTATATGGGTCTCTTATTTGCTGGAAATGAAACCAAAGTAATGGAATCTGTTTCCTCTGTTTACCTTGAAGTAAAAAAGTCATATTACGCGTAACAGGATTCTGTTTTATCCTTAATTTTTGTCTGACATTCATGTTCTGCTACTACAAACTTTGCACAGAACACTGTTGGTGAGGAGTCACATCTTGCTATAGAAACTAGCGGGCATGGAGCTCTGAAGGAGAATCACTGGCTTGATGATGGTGCATATCTCATGGTAAGTTTGTTGCATATTTGAGTCTTTGAACTTGCCAGATGGCATTATCCAAATATAATCACTCTTTAAATTTAGGCGAATGTACCCGAAGCTTTTTCTAGTGTTGATGTGGAGCCAGTGAGATGAGATATTAAAAAATTTGTTTTCATCAATTTCCTTCCCGATGAATGCATATGTTTAAGTATTCTTTTACTTGCAGGTTAAGCTTCTGAACAAGCTTGCATCAGCTAAAGCATCCGGGAAAGGTGGTGGCAGCAAAGTTCTAACTGGATTGGTTGAGGGTCTAGATGAACCAGGTTTTGCTGTTGAATTAAGACTGAAGATTGATCAGACCCATGCAGAACTTAAAGGAGGGTAGGTATGCCTTGTTATTCATCTGGATTCCTTCTTGATGAGAAAATTCATTTGCTCATCCTTCCAGATCATTTCGGGAATATGGAGAGGCTGTGATAAAACATTTGGAGAACGTAGTTGACTCTAACCCGAAACTACAGAAAGCCCCTGTTAACTATGAAGGCGTAAGTCCAATGACATTTATCCGAGTATCTTTTTCCATTAGAAAGTGTGTATTAGAAAGTGAGTTTGCTATTTCAAATTGTTCCTTTGGAACCTAGCCAACGGGCTCATGAACTATTGACTTTGCTTTGCTTCCAGGTGAGAGTTTCAGGGTTCGGTGGGTGGTTTCTTCTGAGGCTCTCTCTACATGATCCTGTTCTGCCACTTAACATAGAGGTATGCCCCACGCCGCTGCTTTCTTATGCTTTGAGTTTATTTTGAATACGAGCCAATTTCCCAACTGTTACAATTTCCAGGCATCTAGCAAGGAAGAAGCTGTGAACCTTGGCAATGCTGTGCTATCTGCAGTAAGAGAGTTCCCAGCTCTTGATACGACTGCATTGGACAAATTTGTCCAAGCGTAAACTGCCACATGCCGCATACATTTAACATGGTTCCCCGCCTGCTCTGTGCTACTAACTCTGGTCGATCTAGAGGAAACTCCCAATTTTCCCATTCCTTGTACTGAGGCCATGATGTATCGGGCATATCATACAGCAAGAAACATTATAGACCGGAAACGAACTTTGAGAAAATCAGTTCAGATGGTTTTGTTTTGTGGTGAAGTTTGATTTTTGGGTTTTAATAAGAAGCTGCAGCGTTTGTATGTATTTGCTAGACAGTCAAATTCTGTAGGACGTTTTCTATATTGCATGTACAGCTGCACTATACTTGATACCTTCAATAAACTGACATGATTTTGGTGCAATCAAGCATCCGAACCAATTGTAGAGTTTAAGTATATAACACTTAATTTCCTTCCGTGCTGACAATCAAAACGTCTAAAATTATTATACAGGAGTTGCATGCACAAATTTACATCACAGCCAGAATAATTACAGGGCTGTCGAGATATCTCGAGCTTGCATCAATGCATATACAAGTTTACCTACACTTCTTTGAGGCTAATACCAACTGAAAACAGGGCGTTTTCAAGAAAGAATCCAGAGACCAGTTGAAGTATTCACTTCAGAAGCTTCATCATGAAGTGAAATTCAACATCAGGTGAAGTCCTGGGTTGAGGCCAGTTTGCCGCCTCTGGTATTTTGACGCACCTGAAGCCTTGACTTTTGTACAACGTGGTGGCTCCTGGGTTGTTGAGGTCACAATGCAAGGCAACAGCTCTACATCCCCAGCTTTTTGCCTGTGCCTCTGCTTTAGCTACAAGCCTTTTCCCTATTCCCCTTCGACGAAATCTTTCCCGTACTGCAACATTGGATATATATGCAATACCCTTCCTATTAAGTCGTCAGAAAGTAAGTCATCATCTATATGGGAAAATAAAATCAAAGTTTATAAAAACAGGGAAAATAAAAAGAAGAAAAAGGTAACACTAATCTTAAAGTATAGATATTACTACTCCAAAAAAATAGTCCACATAAAATTTTGAGATTTGTACGGGTTTTGGTACAAATTTCGAAACCCAATGTTGACTTTTTTTTTTTTTTTTCAGGGAGGGAGGAAGCACTTTTTCATATGACCAAAGTTAGCTTCTTTTTTTCTTTTTTTCTTTTTTTTGGTGAAAACAGTTAGCAATTTTCACAAGTATTTTATTTAAGATTAAAGCATACTAGTCTTCACTTGACTATATGTTAATATTTGTATCAGAAATTGCAGATACAGTACGTCAACAAACAATTAGCAACAAGCAGCCTAGATTCTGTTGTATATGTTTAATTTTTTGAATTATGACATTGTAACATAAGCTCAATAGAATCAGAAAGTAGCATCAAATCTGCATTACCTTCTTTGTCGCAACGGTCCTTTTCTTGGAAGAAAATCCGCCACAGTATCTACAGTTAATATCCCAGCTACGTATCCCTTGTGTAAACTCAATTTCCCATCAAAGCCACCTATTTTGAAATCTTCGTTCCATAAGAGAAGAGGCTCTTCATCTGAACTGCCAACAACCGCAACTAGACAAGTCCTCTGGCATCCACTAGGTAATGAAAACCCAAACAGCATCCCGATCAGCCTGTCGATTCTCAATGCAAAATCTAGAGGGAAAGAGTACTGGGGGAAGAAGGAGCTACAATGGGTCTCAGCCACTTCCCAACAATCCTCCAATCTAGCCTCCCTAACTACAATGTCAGGAGACATAGTTGGGTACAATTCTGCCAACTGACTAGCTCGACAAAGCCCTGGGGAAAATCAAATAAAATAAGCAGTTGCCTAATAATCGATATTGATAACGTATAAAATGAAACAAGTAATCGAAAGGTAATTGTCAAATAATTGCATGTGACTGGAGGGCATCAATAAAGCTGAAGTACTGTGTGTCATGCCTTACTGATTCATGACAATAGCAAGAAAAAGAGGCAATTAGACATTAAGACTCCTTCCTACCTAATCTCCTATCTCAATAGGTCAGATGTTTAAACTTCTCCATAGAAAGAGCACAATATACTGTTATTACTTCACCATGCACCCAAGCAAACAGCAAACACAGGGTTGAACAATTTTTTCCCTTTGCCGAGTAGAGAGAGGATAGCAATCAATATTTGAGAGTTTGACAGAATCCATGGGTCTATCCAAAGTGTCTGTTCTGATTATTTGTATGAGTCCATCATCTTCAACTCAATGATATCTCATTCTATATTTGCAGGATATGATCCTACTAATTACATATTTAACAAAGAACAGCAACTTGAGACTGAGCAAACTGAACATCTTTCCACAAGACTGGAATAAAGTGGTAGCATAAGAATTATGCAAAAATAGATTAACAGCATAATGACTTGATCAAAAAGAAACTCAATTTCACTTGTCGAATAAAAAGCTAAGACGTTGAAACTACATGATCAACCCTGCCAGAACTTTGTCAAAACGCATTTATTTGGAGTCTCACGATTTTCACTTCCTTCTATCTCTAATCCCAATATATAGCTCCTTTGGTTAGCTTGTCAAGTAACCTTAAAATATAAATCTCCTTGCATTTGCAAAAAAGTCAGTCAGAAAGGAGGAGGAGCATCCCTTTTCTTTCTTCCCTTTGTGAAGGAACAATAAAGCCAGAAACTTTTAAAATTCATAAACCAAATATATTTTGCAACTGATTAGTTGATCAACATCGAAATTCAAACTGAGACCTGCAAGTATCTTGGACAAGAAAACAATTCAAAGAGGTCAATAGCAAATTCAATCCCAAGACTAACCTCTTCTCCCATTTTTAACCTCCACACGCATAATAAGCCAAAGTCACAAACCACATGTATAAGTAACCAAAGTTACTAACTTGAGAGAGTTCTAATCAACAAACCACGCACTAAAATTCAAATTTTTAAACACGTTTCTTTTGACAGATAAAGTACTGTCAACCGTGAGAAACGATCTCAATTGTTCCCCCATAACATAAACAACATATGGTATCACAAAACAATGACAATATTAAGAAGAAAGGGATAATTGTTACCAGGAGCAATTTGGGCATATGGGTCGTGAAGAGGAGACCTTGAAGCACATGGTGAAGAAGAAAAAGTGGATTTAGAAATGGAATTGAGGAGGTTTAGAGATGGGTTTAAGGTGAGGAGGCTTAGGCTGTTTACAGTTAGTGAGGAAGTCCCAGATACTGTCAAAGGTAGTATTGTCTGCATTTCTGTCTTCCTTACAATTGCCTTCCCACTCTCCAATTACAACCAGATGATTGATTGATATAGTTTTTATCAGAAAAGGACTTTTTCCAATGGACACAGAATTTAAAGTGACGACACACACAACGCACACACTCTCTTCTTCTTTCTCTCTGTGAAGAAGATGGGAGGAAGAGTGTGTGTGTGTGTGTGAGAAGTCAGATTCAGAAGAAGAAGAAGAAGAAAAGATTAGGAGAAGATTAACCACCAAATAATTTGGCAAGATTTTTGGTGTGATGTTCTGTTTTTTTACTTTGACGGTAACTGCTGTATAGTTACCCTGCCCGCTACAATCTGCAATGATGAGTGGACTTTGGAAAAATTGGCCGATCTACTCAAAGATTGTCATGCGTTGTCAATTTTATCTTATTCTTTTTTAGATTAGCCAATATTACCCTAAACTATCCAACTGTTAGCCGATTTTATCCAATTGGCCAATTTCCGTTTAAATTAACGGAATTCTGTTAGTTTTAATTATTAAAAACACTCTAATAATTTTAAAAATTATAAAAACAACCCTAAAAATTTGTAAAAATAATCAAACAGTCTTTTTACACTTTTTATTTAATTTTTTTTGTTTTCTATTTATTTTTATTATTTCTCATTACTATAAAAATATATTATATGATCTTTAAAAAAAACTATTTATTTTTAAACACTACTGTGCAAATTTATAGATATGTATATTTGTAACTCATGGTTGATTTACATAAACATATTAATTTTTTAATAATATAACTTGACAATAATGATATTAGTTTTTTTAATCCTTTTTTCAATTTAAAGTATAATATTTTTTGAGTAAAAACCAATTTTTTACAAAAAAGTAAAACATTTAGCATAGATTAAAAATTAATATATTAGTACATTTTAATTTATTACAAATTGAATAAACAAACTATAGATTTTATTATCTAATTCAAAAAATTATTAAACTAAAATATAGTGTACAATCTAGTGTTTAGGGTGTTGAGCTTCATCATAGTAGATATAAGATTAATCCTCACCAAGGATTTTTAATCGGGAGAGTGATTTTATCCATATTTATGCATGGTTTACTAAATGTGAGAGGGTTGAGTTGGATGGTCAAGCGATTTAAGATGGGAGATGATTATTACTGTGTTCGAGGCCTTAATTCTCACTGGAACGATCTTTTTTTTTTATAAAGGTGGAATCCTGTACTGGAGCAGATTTTTTTATTATTATTAAAAAAAATTTCCTGCTAAAGTTAGACGCCAGATTCAAATCACGAAAATCCACACAAACCCTGGTTTTACCGTTCTTCTTAATTATCGGCACCACATTCGCAAGCCAATCCGGATAAACTGCCACTTCTATAAAACCAACTGCCAATAACCTTAATATCTCTTCCTTGATCTTAGCGGTTTCATCCAAAAACCTTTGTGGCTCTTGCTGCTTTAGTTTAAACTCTTTCTTATTGGGAATTGTGTGCTCAATCAAACTCCGGTCCAATCCCGGCATTTCAGTGTAGTCCCAAGCGTAACAATCTCGATACTCCATCAACACCATTGTCAAGGCCTTTTTCTGCTCATCAGAAAGTACCGCACTTATGAATGTTGGTTTTTGTTCCTCGTCGATTCCCAAATTTACCGACTCTATTGGTTCCTTTGTCACCACGACGTCATCTTCAAGTTTGCTACTTGCCTTTGCTAATTCTGATAACTCAATATCATGATATTCAACTGAAGCTTCATCCTCACACACGGCATCTACTATACATAATGCCAACAATTCCAATCAATAAAATAGTGGATCACTTATCATCATCAGAAACTTCCTCAATAATCGGTCCAGCTCCCTGCGGCTTAGGTGCCAAATATTGGCATGACCTGCGAATCTCTTGCCAAAACATCCTCCATTCTTTGATACCTATGTTCTTCATAGGCATTGCGGTCATAGATTTACCGTATTTGTCAATTCTAAGCAACCTACACAGTCTGACATCCTTTTCATAATAAAAAGCTTCAGCTGCATTGCTCTGCACCGTAAACGGTTTAGCATCGACCTTTATAACTTCTGGTCCATTTTGCCCCCAAATCACCAAAGCCTGATGAAAAGATGAAGGGACGCTTCTGACTGAGTGAATTCAGTAGCGGCCTAACACAGCGTTATAGGATCCCGTAGTATCCACTATAAAGAAAGCCAACATGACTGCTTGAGAGCCCAACTCCACTTTAACTGGTAGTATCCCCGAGTACTTGTCACATCTCCAGTAAAGCTGCTAATTGCGATCTCGGTAGGAACTAAATCTAATTCTTACTTCCCTAAACTCTGCAACGTGGAAGAAGGCATAATATTCACAGCCGCACCATTATCGACTAGTATCTTGTTAAAGAAACACCATCTAACAAAACCTGCACATACAATGACTTTACATGATTGGTAGACATTGATTCTAACATAGAGATAATTACCGCTGGCAAAGCTCCATCAGTTGTTATCTTAATCCCCAATACCTCTTTTGACTACCGGTTGACTTTCAGCACCATCGTTTTCTCTGGTTCATCAGATTTCACTTCAAGCATTTTTGCCATAGCTTGTCTAGCAGTATATTCTTTAGGCAATACGTACCCCATGTTGACATCCATACTATCATGCTTCTTGACTTGCCACTGCTTAGTTAGTCGAGCCTGCTTACCATGTGCACCGTAAGGTGATTGTTCAAGCTCCCTTCTTTGCCTTAAATCCTGATATCTTCCTGCCCGTTGCCGCTGCCACCTTCGATGCTGAGTTCGAGTCATATCACTGCTTGTTGATACAGGAGTTGGTAATCTGGGGTGCTCTACCCAATGCCACAAATTATTAGATGCTTAACTGGGCCTCACCATTCTAGCCGTTACACCACTCATCGGCAGCACAAATAATTGGGCAAACTGTCCAAAGCTAATCCCCTGACCATGATTTGGCCATGACAACCTGTGTTTCACTGTTCTTGATTCAAATCTCTCATTCCCAAATCCTTGGGATGTGCGTGGACCTAACAACTCATGAATCGGCTGTCGTGGCACTAATCTATCTGCATGTTGATCAACACTCTTATTTGCCGGCCTTGGATGTTCAGCCTGTCTACTCTGAAGAACTTGTGTTAAGAACGTTGCTACTTTCTGTTGATAACTCTCATTTTACTCTTGTACTTGCAGTTTTCTGACCCAAGTTTGCAACTGTCCGTCGTCTTCAATGGTTATCTCTTCTTCTGCTTGCTGGGAAAGGATTTTTCGTTGATGCAAATGCCCACCATTCGCACTTCCCAATCGGCAAACTTCTTCTTTTATTGAATCCACCACTCGATCACAATCTTGGTAACCAATACTTATCTTCTGTCTAGCATAAGCAGCTGCCCGGGGATCCACATTTATCATTCCTACTACATGGTTCACCGGGAATAGTTCTATCATCACGGCTTCTGGTTCTTCCACTTGGATATCCCCATTGTCAATCATCTTCTGTATGACATTCCGGAAAACCACACAATCATTGGTTCCATGTGTCATCGCCATGTGGTATTTGCAGTAAGTCTTTCCCTCTATATCGGCAGGTTTTGGTTGTCTTTGTCCCTTCCGATAAGTCACATGGCCTATTTTTAACATGTCCTCAAAGATTACCTCCTGTTGAGTAATATCAAATGAGTACACTCGGCCTGGATTATTAGGGTCGGTTCGTGGTTTTGCCCCTGTGGCTACTCCTGGTCCTGGTGGTATGCCGTAAGCTTGTGGGGTACTAGGCTTCCACAAGACACTACATTTATATCCTTTCATGTTTACTATTTCGGAAGCATTAATGTCTTCAAAATCTTCCTCCTCATCTAACTCAAGTATTGAGCTTGGTTTACCGTCGGTTGATTAGGAGGGTTGAACCATTGTCTACCGTGACTTTTGCAGCTTTCAGCTTCTTTGGCAATTACCTTGTCCAATTGACAAATTGCTTCAGCCAACTCTCCCAAGTTCGAGAAAGTCTTTCCTGTCAAATCAAATTTCAACCAAAAATTGGTTAGACCGGCTATGGCCACGGTTATGATGGTTTGTTCTAGGTATTCACCTGGTATTGTGGCCCTCATTTGCCTAAACCTTAACAAGTACTGTTCTCCAGTTTCGGCAGGCTTTTGCTTAACATCGTGCAGATCCACAATAGTGCAATCCGGTTTGCTTACATAGAAATTTTGTAAAAATAACTCCTTTTGTACCTCTCAGTTAGCCAGTGATCCAGGTCTCAATGTTCGATACCACTCCAATGTCGTACCAATCAATGATTATGGAAACAGCCGCAACTTATGGTATTCATTGTTTGCCAATTGTCGACATTCTAGCTCATATGTCCAAATGTGATGCTCCGGCCTTGTGCTATCGTCGCCTGAAAATTGGTAAAGGTAGGCATCTTGAAGTTCCAGGGAAAAGGTTCCAAATCGACTAGACCTGGATATGGTTTTCCTGGAACTTCTGGAATCTTGAACCCTAAGTCTCGCCGTGGCACTTCTGACATTAATCGACGTAATTCAATCTGATCAACCGTCAACGCTGGATTGGTATTAACCGGCGGCGTTTGTCCTATACCAGCCGCTTATTGCCCAACGTTTTCCGTCGGACCATTCCCTTGAGCCATCAGTATCTAATTACCTGCTGGATTATTATTAACATATGTAGCCGCCTGATTAACTGCCGGTTCCCGCGACTGATTGTGTATCCGATTGGGTGGCTGCCCTTGATGCATCAAAGGAACTCTTGCCGCTTGATCTCCGTTCCCTGTTGCAGCTGCTGGCAGATTAATCACTGGTACCAACTGTAGGTGGTGATTAGGGAGTTCTAACATCTGAAAGTATTGAAGCTGTTCTTGTTGGTTAGTCATAGTGACATACTGTGACTGATTTCCTATCGGCCCTTAAGCTGGTAGCCTGGGACTATTATTTTTGGACTGTATTGGAGCCTGCGGCAGCAACCCTAGCGGCGGCTTCTCGATTTCTATTTTGTTTATATTCTACACTAGTCTATAATCGGTTTTCTTGTACTTCTTCTCTTTTAGGATGAGGCGACATTGACGATCCTCCTAACAGTGCCAACAGCATGTTGCCAACAGCCACCAATTGTTGCTCCGCCATTAGATGAGTCTGTTGATTGGCCACAGTTGATTCAGTTGCTGGAGCTGTGGTCGATGTTGTCTGGAGGGCCTCAGTAGGAATTCCGCATTTGTATATTTTGCATGGGACTATTGGATCAAAACTCCCGGGTGAGGTCTTGAATCCAAACCGTTTCTTCCGCATACATACGTTGTTTGCTCAGTTCGGTCTTTGTTTGCTCAGACGTGGTTGTGTTTGGAGTTATCCCTTGAGTCGCAATTACAGCTGAGTATGGTTGATATTGATCAAAGATCGGTGGTGATGTTCTGCCGTTAAAAGTAAAGTTCCCGTATGGGGGAATAAACACTAGTTGACTGGGCATCACCTTTTCATACCAACTCCTGGGCATCTGTTCCGAACTAGGTGTCTCGCCTGACAACTGCAAAGACGGGCCTGCTGTAGGCCGGGACGATCCTGGAGTATCATGACCTAAAAAGTGCAAAGGATTCACACTAAAGTGCTCTGGCATCTTACTTATCCCTTTTTCTTGCCCAAAGAAACTCGGCGTAACCGGCCATTGTCCTGGAGCTTTGATGGCACTCAGTTCTGCTTGCATCGAATTCACTCGTTCCACCAATATCACCATGGAGCTCATTATCTCTTTACTGAACACAGACTCACTGGTGCCTGTTTGCCTTGGCGAATTATCCGGCGTCAATCTCTTTAAGGTTTGGGTTGATGTTTGCGTTGGAGCAGCCGTACTCGCCGGTGGTTACGATGGTTCGGGAGGGATCACATCCGTCGTAGCTACGGTAGTCATCCTAATTTAGTTGGCATAGAATTGTCCCACCGGGTGTGCCAAAAATATGTTTGCATAATTTTTCGTCTTAGAAGAATTACACAATATATCTCTCATACGATTATGCGTTGTTCTCTAAAACTGTGCTAAATAAATTAAGAATAAGAATTTCGAGAATTAAGAATCGGTCGGAGGCCAGATTTTATTATAATTTTTAAAGGTCAAGTACAACCGCCGATAATCGGCCTAATTCAAGGAGTTCTCGAAAAACCCTATCTTTAGAGATAAAATCGGAAATAACCTGAAAATTCAAAAGAAGTAATTTGATGCTTGTTTGATTGTGTCCTTCTTCCTACCGCCGATCTCTTTAAATAGACCTCTACAACCAAGTCGGTTTACAAATCCTTCTTTAAATCTAATTTGGCTTACTCCTTTCAACCAAACCAGACCACATAAAGCCCTTTGACTGTAGCTCATCACTTTGCGCAGCTATGGCCCAATTATAGTCTCTGCCCAATTGCAAAAAACTGGCTCAACACTTTTTTTTTTAGCACAGAGAATGAGGCTATACGCCTAAGAAAGGGTTACGTTCCTGGGGTATGACACCCTTACTTGATCATACCAAAGCCATGGCTGAACTTCCTGGCCCAACACTTTTTTTTGGGTTAGTGGGTTGTAAAAAGCAGGGAAGATTTGGGAGTCGATATATAGGAGGGCTTGAATATGTTGCTTTGAAGTAGTAGAAAAATCCAAATCCTTCAAATTCTTGTGCAGCTTTGCATTAAAGCCTCTCTTCAACTTTATGCTTGGAATTGTAATAATTAAGGAGATTTAATGGTGGCGTGTTATGTTCCAATTCTTCCTCCTACTCAGTTTTTTCTTTTGGTGGAGTAAATAAATATGGTTGAATCATTCATTCATTACACACACCAATCACACTACTTTGGGGATTGAATAAATTTGCAGAAATTCTTCTTTTTCTATAGGCATGCATCGGCGGTAGTTGAGTATCCATAAATTCCTAGTTAAATTTCCAGTGGCATGATGCATTTTCTTGTCGGCCTTCTTTTAATGGTTTTCCTTTTTCACTCTATTTTGTAGAATATACTAGCTAATTGTGAAGATAAAAAAAAAAAAAAACTAGCTAATTGAATCAGTCGAAACTTTGAATAGTAGGATATGAATATTGACTCTTGAATTTATTTTGTTTTTTGGACTATCTAATTAAAGGCGTCCATTTCGCGTCATACAAAAATGATACTAGAATTGTTCTCCTGTGGGATTTTCCTACCCTCGCTCATGCAAATGTTTTTTTTTAATTACTTATTTTGGTAATTTTGATTTAAAATATTATATAAGAAAAATCACATTGATATTTATAAAACATTATTACTCTCTTCGTCCCAAAAAAATAGTCCACATCAATTTTTGAGTTTTATACTATTTTTAGTACAAATTTGGAAACTCAATGTGGACTATTTTTTTGGGACGGAAGTAGTATTACATATGGAGTATTTATCAAAATGGTTGGGATATACTTTCAATAATAAAATCAAAAGTTTAGTGCAAAATGGTAAATTAAAAATGAATAAATCTAAAATATTTATTATTATCTAGGCGATCGACAATCTTTTGACAATAATTGGCAAATGATTCTGCCAAAACAAAAAATAGCATCCAAAATAATTTTTACCAAAATACCCTCATTAATTAAATCCATTTCATATTTATATCTTGCCTATGAATTACTACATATTAAACAAGAGATTTCTTTTTTCTCACAAAAGAATTAAACAAGACAACTGAATTTTTAGCCAGTAAATTAATTTCTCACTTATCCCATCTTAGCACGGGCGTGAAGTTGAACACTACATTTTCAGAGTTCATTTCTCCCAATTTTTTTTTATATATTACTAATAAGATAAAATCCCAAAAGAATCATAATATATAGTCTATACTTCTAAATTACTTTTAACATCATTTAAAACTCGATACGACAGTAAAGAACTAATCTCCTCCAAGATCAACATAAATTTTTTTTTTTGCATTCCAAAAAAAAAAATATTTACTTTGTGTTATAAAATCAAATACTTTCATGCAATTTTATTGATTGTCTGTGAGCAATTGAAATATATTTATCTAAATCAAAATTACTGAAGGATAAAAAAAAATTTTAACATTATTTCAGTAATTGTGCATGTCATTTTCATGAAGAACATTTTTACAAAAGAAGAAAAAGGTTCAAAAAATGAGCAACTAGAAACAAAGGAACGTTTACGAGAGATGTGATGAGATGGGATTAAAAAGGAAATGATAATAGAAGAGGGAAAAAGAAATCTGGATAAGCATTAAAGAAAAATTTGACAATTTAATTAATGTGGGCATTTTGGGTACTAGAAATTTTTTGTTGTGGATGCTATTTTTTCTTTTGGCAATATCATCCGCCTATAACACAATAAAAATATTAGAATTTTTGTTTCATGTTTGTTAATATAATTACTATGTTTCCTTTTCAATGAAATAAAGGGGTTAAAAGGAGTAGTTAGTAAGATTAATGACACACAAATATGTTAAACGAAAAAGGGCTAGTTAAATTCGATTCTTGACGAATGTTAAACGTTTGTGGTTGTTACTTTGTTAGAACATCAATAATAGGTGAATTTTTTTTTTTTTTAAAAAAAAAAGGAAAACGAGAGAGTACATCGTAAAAAGAAAAACAACTGTCAAATTATTATACACACGGCGGTTCATCAAAATACAAATTTCGCAGTGTAAAATAAAACTATGTGAGTCCAATTATCATGTTCGAGTAGATACGACGGTACAATTTATTATTGTGCAACATATTAAAAAAAGAAAAGAAAGTGACGATCACACACGTTTGAAGTACTTATTATTCATTTGTATCAAATAATAATAATAATAATAATAATAATAATAATAATGAGGATTGATATAGATTTGTGCATAAGTTGAGGAAGATTTTGCTAAATGGGTGCTAGTTGAAGTGTTGAACATTGAAAAAAAAAGAAAGAAAAAAAAAAGAAACATGAGTAATTAAGTGCACTACAGATTGATGAATTAATTTCATTTCTTCTTCATTAATAGGAGTATTATTAAGTATTAACCCGTAGCTCCATTTTATTTTACTCCTATATAACTTCTTCTTCGTCTTAATAATAACGAGGGGGAAAAATTAAAAATAATAGTGACATTACTGAGAAGAAAGAAAGAAAGAAAGAAGGGGCGGCGGACTCCACTAATGAGAAACTGTAGAATAAAAACTACAGACTACTGATTGAAACTAATACCACTACCACTAAAGTCACTAAACTAGATTAAACTAAATTAACTACTAGTATCCCTTCTGTCCCAAAATTATTGTCCAGTTTGAGAAACTGAACAATAAGTATGTGACGGAGGGAGTACAAAATAAGAGAACACCTCAATCTTCTCCTTCTCCTTAGACCCACTTCTCCATGGATTGGAGATACTCCTTGGAGGGGCAGTTGAGCATTCCATAAATTCATGCCAAATTTTTTTTTTTCTTTTCCTTTTTCCTCTAGTACCATGATTCAGAAGTTACTAAATCGAAAGCGAAGACTAAAGTACATTTTTCAAAATCCGGTACAAAAGCTTCTACGGTCTATTGTAATCAATAGTGATCACATTAGTAAATTCTTGTTGTTTGGGGAATGTATATTAATTGATTGATGATATAATAAGATCAGATTGGTTCTGCTCATCGTAGTGAAATCACAGAGTTCTAGATGATTACTAATACAGAAGATCGTCCGGCACAATCTTTTTAAATACAAGTGTGATTTCTACTGTTTAACCTGTGTGACCTAGAAGCCAACTGGAAGACTGCTCAAAAATGCTAATGTATGAGGAGATGTTGATTTTCCAAACAGTGAACACCACGACGGAAGCCTCCCCAGAACATCCTGTGCCGGAGGAGTCAATCTGTCCACATCTGTCCTCAATTTTAGGAGAGGAAGCTCTCCGGCGCCGGCCTCCTTGCTTGTGACATTTTTATTTGTCCAGAACAGCTTCAGATCAAATTTGGTGGGTGCTTTCTTTCCCCCTGAAAACTGAATGATGTGCCATCCATCTGCACTGCTCTTTCCACCCACTGGAATCAATTCCGAACCCTCTGCATCTGGGGACAAAGAGCAAAATAAACAAGAAAATTTAAAAATTCATTCAGAGGGTATGGAAATGTATTCACTGCAGTAGTTAATTTTAATCTTTGAGTCAGCATGGATTGTAGCAAGAGCTGGCACAGCCCATGATCACTTGATCAACTCACAAATTTTTCTATAGGAAACATGCTAAGGAAATAGTTGGTAAAATCGAAAACATGATCGCGAAATCTGTACTACCTTTCAACAGAAAATCTTCAATCTCTTCCATATTGATCGCAAGCGTCCATCGAGTAGAAACTTTTGTATCCAATGAGACTTCAGTTATTCTGTTCTCATCCTTCCTATCATGCTCAACATGAATAGAAGGTATATCAGACTTGTCCCAGCCAATCCCGGCATCCTTGTCAATCCAACAGCCGTACTTGACTGAAAAAGTAACAAAATCGGGCTGTTTTTGGCTGCCACAAACCATTCCGTTCCCTATAGCTTCAGCTTCCTTGATCAAGTTCCCAGGAGTTAGGGAAAACAGGGATGTGTAAGAGTCTGCTTCCTCATTTCCACCATATCTTCCTGTTGTATCCACAACATGCACAACCTGGAAAAGAAGAAATGAACTTAGCAGTTCTCAGAAGCAACACAAATTATCTCCTCTTATAGTAGGGTTAAAAAATGCCTAGTTCCACAAATTACAAATTCCAATTCTAATTGACTGCAGGTTAGTAAAGGTGCTTTTATTATTGACATTTGAGAAGCTAATTGCATATAGCATAATCTTTCGAAAATAAAGAAGCCTAAACTTTCTGCAGTCCTTCAGGCCACTTGTCAGGTTGTAGTCTTCTCTGATCAAGATTAGCCTAAAGCACAAGTCAACACTGAAAACACTATTGATTTTTAACAACTTAAAAATATGCTCTAAATAGAGGGGGAAACTGTGTTGTATCTCCCTTATCCTAATATAGAGATGATTCCACATATATCTCAATCCCGAGTTAGATGCAGGTTGCATTTGCGAGAAGAAAAATAGATCTTAAGGACACCATCACTTACATTCACAGCTCTAGCAGTATCGTCGGTAAATGCCGGAATAAGACCGAAGGACACTGCCCCAATTGACAGGACAAGGAGAACAACTGCAGTAACTGCAATTGGCACTTTTGCTCCTACAAAGTACATAATGAAATTTTGTCAGTCATCTGGTCGCAACATCAGAAAATTCATCATTCTTCACTGACCATAAGCACAAAGTTGAAACTAAACAAAATAGCATCAACGGCTACAAATGAAGATAGATGGGTGTTCAACCATTTTACTCTCTGCTGGTCCGCCCTTTCTAGATGTTGACTTATGCTTATAAGAATGTAAATTATATGCCAACCTCACTGTCCAATTCCAAAATTGTTTACACATTCAATTTCCAATTCTCGTTGCCTTACATAATCACTAAAAAGTAAATATCCATTCCCAATTGCAAGATGATGAGGCAAAACCTGAAATGTGAATATAGGACAGAAGATAGACCAACGTCAAGCACACAAAACCAGCAACAAGTACGGCAATTATTACACTCCCCAGCCACTCAGGATTGCTTCCAGGAATTCTGCAAACAAAAAAGATAACTCATGTTACTCCAGTGAACATTCGTGAATGAAGAGGACATGTACTTAATTGTGAAACCTTGCAACAACATAGTCTAGGTACTTTTGACCACGGGAATAATTGCCAGATAAAATTGAATGTCTAAGCATGGAGGAAGTACGTGCTTCGAACAATTGAATTTTAACAGATGGAATAGAATATTATAAATACGTTATTTAAATTGACTAGAAGGGTGAGCTAATAACTACAAAACTCAATGAATCAAGGTCTACGAACACTAATAAACAACACAAAATGTGCTTCACCTTCCCCAGCATCATCAATTATCTCCAAATAAGGAGTCGGGTAAGGTGAAGTCATGAAGAGTCACTACTGAAGGTGTATCAACTATCAATACAAACTTAACAGGTTATTAGCAGATTTCCTAACAAACGCATATGAAAAAAGATGTACTCTGCACAATCTTTCTTTTCCAATTATATAATCACCATTGGCAGAACCAGAAGAAGACATTAGTCATCAATGACCATATTGGCAACTGGTCACTTAAAAATAGCAGTAAATAAATCACATTTTTTAAAAGAAAAAGAAGGAAAACGAAAGTAATCTTTCCTCTTCAAGATATTTAGATAGTAGGTGCAATGTGCAATGTGGAGAACTTTTTTATTATGCAATATAATTTACCATTTACCCAAAAAAAAAGAAGAAGATAAGATACCTTTCAAATCGAACAGCTGTTCCGATCATTGTGGCAGTCAACCGAATGATCATGCCAGCAGATAAGAGAACAGGCATTGACAAGCCAACAAGTAAAGTCAGAGTTTTCAGTGGCTTAGGCAACCGAGCTGGAGACAAAGTAGCTTCAAGCAACCCATCTGACATTCCAAGTTACGCATTAAGACAGAAAAGAGCCAAAAGCATGACATCTATGTGTTCAGAAATCAGAAGCTATCCTACAGTAAGATGCAGCAATGCCCATAGGCCAGGACAAAACTTAACATGAGGATTTTGCAACTGGGAAGCTGTGATATATACTTACATGCGAAAGCTGGGGAGACCAGCCAAACAAGGGCTATATAAGTAGATCCGACCTTATAATAGTTTCCCAGTGTGAGGAGTAGAAGCCACTGTATTAAACCCGACTTAAAGAGCCATCTTTCTGAATCCAATTTAGCAATATCAGCTTTAACAGAAGAAGAAAGGTTCCGATATCTTTGTGAATACGTTGTTGATAAGTATTTTGAAAGTATAATATAGCCCAGATGTTGGCCAGCAAATGCTCCTAATATAGCAGGACCACCAAATAAACCGACCACCAGCCATGGGGTCGAAATATATGGAACTGGTGAGGAAGATACAAGTGGGAGACTTAGAGCAACAAGAGCAGCAAAACCAATAGAGCATATCCACATCAGGACAATACTCAAACATGACAGAGCGAGTGCAATAACTGCCGGAGAACCACCCATCATCAGTGATGTAACCCATATTAAAAGTGACTGCATTATGGTGGAGTTGTAAAACATGTTGGCTAACCGTTGACGAAATGTGATCATATATGCTCCCTGAAATATTAGAACAAATTTAAGTCCAGAAGGAAAATGTCTGATATGTCCACTTAGATGGCATAGTTCTCTATGACATACCTGATTATGAAAAGATGATATGAACAAATAAAAAGCAGAAAACACAGAAAGTTAGATCAATTTAGGAGCTTTCAAATTACCAAAACATCAAAATATACAGCAGCATCCCCGGTTGGAGTTCCATCTTGCTCTATTGCCTTACTTTTCGGGAAATCAGAAGAGGCTGCTGCTCGAAGCAGGAAAGCAAGCATGTTCTCTCCAAGATGTTGCAGAGCACCAGGTTTCAAAAGCTTTAATTTGTCATTCTGCATGGAAAAGGGACAGTGATATGAAGAAAAAAACCACAGTTTTACAGTTTCCAACTAAAAGATGTATTACTTTGAGGACAATAATATGTGCAGAAGTATTACACTAACTGAATAGATCAACAATCTTTTATTATGTAATTCCAAATAGCCTTAAGGTGAGGCTGAAAATTTCTTTTGAAGTTTTAAACTATATCAATGCAAGATCCATTTTTACCAAGGTGTGATTCATCCACAAACCGAGTTATAAATTCAATTTGGCTAATGATGTTTACATGTCTTTTAAGATTAATGATATTAATTACATGTGTAATACTGCCTTTGTTCTACATTAACAATCCTCTCTTAGAAAGGAGTCCTCCTTCAACTTATACCCTGGTTAATTTTTCACTGTGGACTAACTATGAAACTATCTGTAAGGGTGACAGTTACAACTAACCAGGTATGCAAATGACTCATGTTCTGGGACAAGGGAAAGTTTAAGATAGGAGTCATAGGACTGTACTTATGGGCAGATGGAGTACTATTCGTCACATTAAACTATCATCGAAGGGAGTGATCAAATTTACTTTTGGTGAGCCATTAATTTTTCTGTGTGAGCACAATAACCAGCAGCCACCTGATTTTATATATTATATAAAAAATAAAAATGAACTGTAGTAGACTTAATATTAAATGCTGCATTGATTTAATTCATTTTATAACCACAAATTCAGAATAAGACACGCGGTGATACTCTAGGAAGAAATCATTAAAAGCATCATTTAGAAACACTTAATGCCCAAAGAAACGAATACATATCAATCTCCAGCTTTACCTCATAAGAAAAAAATGCCTGTTGGTTACCTTTGTGTGGTATACAGCAGTGTTGTCAGCAAAAGCAAAGTCTAGCCCAGAAAGTCCCCCGACCTCCTTATATACTTGAAAATCAGTTGCTGACTTTATTGCTCCAGAAGAAAAGAGATCCTGCAGCACTAAAGTGTATTAAAACTATAAGTTCGTCCTCACTGTGAGGCACATTGACTCAAAAGTCGAAGATGGAAATATTACAATGGTTTTTTAATTTTTTTTTCTTTAATTACAATACATCAACAGACCTGTGCCACAATCTGAGCAGATGGATACTTGGCTGCTGCAGCAAAGTTCTCAATAGCCCAAGGATGAGGACCAGCCTATAAAAGAACATTGAAGTAAAAAAGGAAAAGGATAAGTATCAGGAGCTATGGCAGCAATTTTACGATTAGATCGCAGAACATACTGAATTGGGCTATCAAAATATTCATTAAGTGGTTGCAACACTAGGAGAATCTTATCAACATAGAACACTTCTAAATGCAAACCAGGTGCATTAAAAGCACGAGATAGGCTAAGGGAATTATTAATATACAGGGGCATTATCAGCCTTGACCACTGTTAGTAACAGTAGCCACATAGCTACAAATATAAAACTAAAACCAGAACATTACAGAAAGTTTAAAGGTTTTGCTTTCTTAAATAATATTTCCCGTCAACAAACAAATATATTTATTAAACGCGGAGAATATTGACTTGGATTCCCATCTATACCTGGAAAATGCCAGACTTCCCGCCAATTCCCATTGCCTCCAAATCAACAGCAATTCGCACAGTGTCACTCCAAGGATGCTGCAATAAGAAAATATAACTCAACAAATCAGGTTGAGATACTCACTGAAATTCTGACAATAACTCATAAATTTCAACACCAGAATGAATGGTTCTTAAAGTCTTTTCTCAGGTTGATTTAAATGCGGCAATCAAACAGTTGAAGTTTGCAGAGAACATTTCCACAGAGGAAACATGAAGGGGGGGGGGAAGAAAGAAAAGAAAAATAGAGCTTCAATCACTGAGCAGAAAATTATTTCAGAAGCTAAATTTGCATGGGTTTCCGGCTAAAGCCTGAAATGTTGCAGTTGAGAAAGTTCCAAGATAAAAATAGGTTGCAAACAACTCATCCTCTTTAATACATATATGTGCAGACAAAAATGAACAGAAAGGGAGAAGGAAGGTATAAAGCATAATAGAAAGACTAATTATAATCGATAAAGTTAAGACTTTCTCCTTTGGCGGTAATTGATTATAAACAGCAAAAAAAATGCACCAAACATATATGCCAACACCCAATGCTGGTATTACTATATGATCATAAACCTGAGTTATGAAGCTGTGAGCACCATCTAGTCCTTCCTCCTCCCCAGTATTGAATAAAAAGATAACAGCATGCTTAAATCCATGAGCCCATTGAGAAACCCCTCGTGCAAGCTCCAACATCACAGATACACAAGAACTGCAATCTCCAGCTCCTTCTCTAATTTTAAAAACCAAGCGATAATGTCCAAATACATAATGGGATAAAAATAATGTCCATATTAATCTGAAATCTAAATTAACACAAACAGACCTACAGCTTTTACAAAGCCCTATGGATTGATTAAAGATAAAACTGTTTCCAGAGAAAAAAAAAAAATTTGTTTCTCCTAACCAAACAAAAGATAACTTACCCTGCAAATACTGTATCAACATGAGATGAGACGAGGATAGCATAGTCTCCAGCTTCAACGACATATTTAGGCAAGATTCTCATCACAATGTGATTCATATCTGAATAGACAAGAGTCTTTCCCTTAAAAAGGCCACTAACCAGACGATTAGCACCAGAATTTGCATGAAAAAAGTCAACTTCTACTTCAACTTCCCAGTGAGCATTCTTCTTAATAGACTCTGCTTCTGACAAGACATACTGAAGAAAAAAGCATGGGTTATAATGGCAACCCAAAGAAAGCAAGAAACCTTAATGACGAAATGCTACAGGGTTTCAGTTATACAGAAATCATGATTTTCCCAGTTTAGTTAAAAGCAAACATTTGAACTATCAATAACTGCGTATAGAAAGACAACTCTTAAGCACGTCTAGAAAATAAGACATAAGACGCAAATGAGCAAGATCCTTCGAGGAAATTCACAGTAAATGTATTTATAGATAAGAAGATTCATCCGATACAGTGTTCAGTAAAACAAAGACACAGTGAGAAACAGAATGTGTGTCTATAGAATAATATGTATCAACTAAAGGATGTTAAAGTTCCCGTCAAGTACTACCACTTCACGGGATAAGGTGGAAGAGAATGTAAATGTGAAGATCTTTACATATGTAATACGGTCAAACTATTCGCAAATCTTTAGAATACAGAACTAAAAACTGATTTCAGACCTAAAGAACTACAAAAGCAACCAAAAAAAACAAAAAAACAAAAAACAAATCAAAAGAAGGTAAGAGTGCAAATCAACTATCACAAGTACCTTCAGAGCTTTATCCAGAGCATCAGAACCAACAGGATGAGGACCCAATTCAGTTAATGCCTGAACATGCTTCAATGCCTCAACCTCAGAAAATCCTCTTTTGCCCGCCTGGGCAGCTGTAAGCGGGTGGGGCAGATTCTCAAATTGGTAATGATAAACAGCCACACTCCCATTCACAAGGAGCACAAATAAGGCCAGAATCACCCACGGGGACCTCTTAGCAACCACTTTGACATTACCATCACTGATTTTGGGTCCCTTTTTATCACCGGCTACATTACTGCTTGACGGGTTAGATTCAGCAGCAGCAGAAGTGACAGGCCTTTTTCTCATCTTCCCTTCTCAGTTAGAACAAAAATTTCATCGACCCATAGAAGTTTACCTGCTAATATGACACCAGAAACATAAAAATCATCACTTTGCGACCCAAAAGTTCGCTCTCCTGAATTCATATTATCAACGGGTTCATTTAACTCATACATGAATTGGGTTCCAAACCACAAAAAACAAAAAAAACAAACAGACAATTAAACATGACTGGAAATATAAAACCAAAAAAACGCAAGAAAGAAAAGCTAACGGGGGCTTGCCTTATCTTTGTTCTTGATGGGAAGAAGGTAACAACGGATCAAACTGAAAACTATAAATAGAAAAGAAGGAATAAGAAACAGAGATGTGATGCAACTTGAGAGTCTTCTGTCTTCTGAGTTAACGACTGGAACAAATGTAATTGTATCAGTAATCTAATTAGTCAATGGATAGTAACGACGACGTTTCATTAGGATTTGAGGATAATATATGCACAAAAAGAAAAGTCACTAACAAATGTTACTCACTCCTTGTCATACGTTAAACAAATTTTCTGATCATATATATATATATGGGAGTGGAGGGAGTAGTACATAGTTCTAGTTTAGAGATACTGAATTATTCTTTTGTTTTTCATTATTTTTTCATTTTGTCCAATGTAATAGCAACATAGGTGCACAGTGCACTTAGGCATCTTAGATGTTACGGGCAACAACGAGGGTGTCCAGCGCTGGACTGCATAGTAGATGTTGAATATTCTTTTTCGTTGTTAATGGATATCTATTATCTACTATATAAAAATACCAAATCCTATGAAATGGCCAAAAAGTACCAATTATTAGGCACATTGTTAATAAATTATCACCAACATGTAGACGCGGTATAATTCATAATTTAAACATTTTAATTAGGATCTATATATATATATATATATATATCCCTTTTACCCTATTAAAGCAGAAGACATGAAGCTTATGTGGCAACTACGTATGCATCTGTTTTGGCTCCAATGCACCATATTTCAGATTTCAGGAGTCTTTTTGCCACGTGTAAGTTTCTTTTAATTAGAAGCTATATAATTTTTTTTTAAAAAAAAAATCACATGTTTTAAATGTGATCCGAGTCCAATAAAAAAATTCTACAAATAAGAATCAGTTACATTTCAAACGAATGGATATATTAATTCAAATTCAAATATCCAATCATACAGTTTTGCAGGCTTAATATAAACAAAAAATAAAAAAACTTAAATTCAGTAATTAAGAATAATACCTTAGAAACTAATTATTTATTATTCCCTTATAACCTCAGATTTATAGGTATATTTTTTTAAACCCCAAACTATAGCATAAATAATATATACGTCAAATTAATTCCTCAAAAAATAGTAATTCAATTACATTTTAATAAAATAGTAATTTAGAAGGGACGTCCGGGCATCTGCCTGGGCCAAACATCTAGAATCCTATTAAAACAATAGTCCAAGAGAAAAAAGAAAAAAAAAAAACCCGATGTGTCGCGTTCTCATACATCCGTTTCCAGCCCAACAAAAATTATGTAGTTTTGTGGAAAAAAAATAATTTCTATAATTTTTAATTGTATTAACTTTCCTTGTCCTTAGTTATAATTAATCAATTAATATTAATATAATAAGACATTAATGATATAAATAAATAATTCTTTTATTATTTCCAAAATTTAAACATAACAAGTTGAGTTAAAGTTGAAAAACACTTTTATCATTTGTATCTTGAATTTTAAAATATATCGTTGTAAATGGGTCGGGCAAGGACCTAGTCTTCATTAATTTAGTAACATTTGTAGCATAATATAATATCAAGTGAGTTGATCAAGTTTGGGATTCTAATTACTGTATTAGAATTTGGACATTTAAATCATCACCCATGAATTTTGAATTGGATATTTCGGTCTTCAAGTTCTAACGTGGTATAGTATGTAGATAGTATAATAATCGAAAAGGTTGATTAATTTTTTTCGATATGAGTCTTTACTTCTAATGATAAATGTCAACTCCAAATCACGGATCTTTCCAGATGGAACAAAGTTATATACTATATTGAAAATGTGTGTTGATTTCCAGAAATATGCATACACATAGTTTGGTATAAAGATGAGTGAATGCTCCCGTTCCTTGTCAAAGCTATCATCACCACAATAACTTTGCGACATTTCAATTTAGCATATCACGAATTAATATTAGGCTCCGTTTAGTTAGATTGAATTGCAATTGAATTAGAATTATAATACTATTGAATTAAAAATGAGATATTAATATTATAATTCAATCTCAATTCTTTTGTTTGGGAGATCTTGAAAATTTACAAGAATTAAGGTTCTAATTCCAATTCTTGTGTTCGGATGCATAAAAATTTGGATACTTTAGAATTGAAATTAGTTTGTTATTGTATAATTAATACTAGTACAACTTATACTTCTTGTCAAAAATATAAAAAAAAAATTATTTTATTATAGATATGTATAACACAAAAAATAAATAAATTCATTATATGCATGTATATATGACTAGTTTGGCGTTGTTTAACTATACAATTTTTACTTTTTTTTTTGTTAAAACAAATTATTATTTTTAATTAATTTACTATATCAATTTTGTAATTTATTATGTACACACATTTTTGTTGGAAACAAAAGAAATGTTATTATGTATAAGAATTATTAATATGATACTTAAAATTCTCACTTAATACACAAACAAATAACACGTAAAACATTCTTGTTTTCCTTTCTTTTATTATTTTTCAAAATTTTTAATTTTTTATGTTTTGATTTATATCAAAAATTTTAAAAAATTATTATATAACATTGTAAGTACAGTTTATGAATATTGAGGTTCATTTATACATAAATTAACAATAGTATATAATATATGCTTAAATATTTTTATTCTAGTATATAATTATATATGAAATAGAGCTATGATAGAGATAGTGACTAATTACAGTGAAAAATCATAGTGACTAATGAAAAGACAAATACACCATCCTCACTAAATATGTGTATTTATTAATAAAGGTAAAAATGTAACTCTTTAGGGTAAGATAAAATTTTAACGGGAAAGTGGCAAAAAACTAAAGGCCAAGAATAAGTCACATCACTCACTATCTTTTTTCACTATTTTTTTTTCACTAAAAATATCATTTTCCTATGAAATAATAGATACTTAAAACTCAACTTACATAATTTTTGGTGAGAAGATGCCATGAATAGTTTAATATATATATATATATATATATATATATTATAATATAGGTGTATACATGGAACAATTTCTATAACAAAAAAAATTAAAATGTTATGTTGTTTAATATGTCATAATATAATAAAAATTTAACCCAAACTAAAATATTTAGTTATTAATTTTTTTTGGGTACAGCTATACTTTTGATGTTTTTGTAAAAAAGATGCAATATTAATTTTAAATTGATTTCGTTGATAATTCTTAAAATGATATATATATGACAATAATAATAATAATAATAATAATAATAATAATAATGAGACAAACAGCCCAATAAAAAAGAAAAACAAAGAAAAGAAAAAAGCGATGAAAGCAAAAAAAGAAAAAGAAAAAAGCTGAAAAACAATAAAATTAAAATAAAATATATATATATAAAGGTCAAAAGACAAAAATTGAGAGGGTGACCCGTTTAGGTTATAACCCGGAAACGCCCCGGTTATGACCCGTGTGTTTTTTTAAGTCCTTGAATTTGGATTCCAATTATTTGCTCCCACAAAAGAATTAAAAATAAAGAATTGAGCCTCATCTTGAATTATAATTCTAATTCTTGAACCTTTATTTTTACTGACCAAACACAAGAATTGGAATTAAATAACTCCAATTCTAATTTTTGGTCCCAATTCAATGCAACCAAACAGAGCCTTAAAGTAAGAACTCTATTTGTTCGGTTTGGTAATATTCCTGTACGTAGTTGTCATTTGGATTTGGACACGATGCGATTGCGATGCGACTAGGATAAGTGAACCGGCTTATGAAATACGATCAAAGTCATCAAAAAATGTACCAAAAAAAAAAAAGAAGAATAAGAGAGCTATGATTGGGAGTTTAAGCACGAGAATCATTTAAATTGACAAAAAAAAAGGGAAAATTCAGTTAAAGGACAATAGAACATATCAAATTAATAAAAGGGGTATGACTCCAAAATTTTTTGTATGAAGTGCGACAGTTTATTTATTAAAAATCACAAAATCAATATGATTTTATAAATACTCCACATAATTACCCTTATTTTTTATTTATCCTTTTAATAAAATACTAAAATACGTAAAGTAAGAATTATTCTCCTATATTTGCACAGAACAAAGCTCCAACTGGCAACAGCCTCAGCCGAATCAAATGACCATCATCACGAAAATACGTTTGACTCTTTTAATTTGTTACTATTTACGCAGATAATTCACAGTGGATTTTTTTTTTTTTTTTGGGTACCGTTGTCTTATACTCTTTGTTTCGATGATTAACTAAAATTTTTATGGGTTCATAATACCGTCACTTGTTTGAAATTTAACTGGCCTAATGATTGGAAGTCCAAAAACTAGGAATTGAAAACCGTATCCCTTTTACCCTATTAAAGCAGAAGACATGAAGCTTATGTGGCAACTACGTATGCATCTGTTTTGGCTCCAATACACCATATTTCAGATTTCAGAAATCTTTTTGCCACGTGTAAGTCTCTTTTAATTAGAAGCTATATAATTTTTTTTAAAAAAAAAAACACATGTTTTACTACAAATAAGGATCAGTTACATTTCAAACGAATGGATATATTAATTTAAATTCAAATGTCCAATCGTATAGTTTTGCAGGCTTAATATAAACAAAAAATAAAAATACATAAATTCAGCAATTAAGAATAATGCCTTATAAACTAATTATTTATTATTCCCTTATAACCTCAGATTTATAAATATATTTTTTTAAGCTCCAAACCATAGCATAAATAATATATACGCCAAATTAATTCCTCAAAAAATAGTAATTCAATTAGATTTTAATAAAATAATAATTTAGAGAGGGCGCCCAGCATCTGTCCGGGCCAAGCATCTAGTTATACATATAGAGAAATTCCAAAACAAAATAGTATAAATCTTAATAGATGATTCCTGCTACTGTGAACAACAGAAACTAGTAAGTGTCCTCTATTATATAAAAAGAAGAAAAGAAGAAGCCCTGCTACCTTTAACTCCATAATACCCGTTATCTCTTCCTCAAATTCATCCGAATTTTACTGTTCAGTTTGGGAAGATATTAGCAAGTAATCTTTAAACGTCAAACTCCCCCCACTTTGCAATTTACTTAGTTCAGTTTGGTAATGGTTAACCCAAGAATTCGTAGTGGAAATCCCATTGCTTTGTTTCTTTAGATTTTGCATTTATAATAAAGGTAATTATGTATTTATAAAATTATACTGATTTTGTGACTTTTAATAAATAAACTACCGCCGTTCATACAAAATATTTTCGGGGTAAT